AGCGTCGTACGACGAAAATCGGATGCAGGGTGAATTCAGGCATATGTGACGGCACCCTTAAGCCTGATTTATAATGGCCGTAACCGTTAACTTATGCCGGTGCCGGTGTAAAGTTCAACCATAGGATTTCAATGCTTTCGTTCATACCAACTTGCCGTATTAGTACGGCCATTATAAATCAGGGGTTATAGTGATATATGGGCTATGTTCCAAAATTGAATGCCTGTACTAAAAATCTATAGTGCACGTAACGTAAACTGTCGCATTTTCAGTGTTGGCAGTAAATTTGGAACACAGTCATGGTATTCTTGGATCTGCTCGCATTGCTTGCACTTTTTCATTCAGCAACACTGCAAAGTGCGAACGGTGAAGCGCCATTTGACTACATGGCTGAAACCTACGATGTATTATACTCCAGCATGATACGTGCCCAACCCTGCTTCTGGGTAAAAAGTTATCGTCCGGACGTTCATTCTGAATGCACCCCAGCATAAGTTTTTTTTGTGTGCCATGGCCCTAAACAGCTATGGTCACAATACGGCTGCTTCACTTAGGAGAGAATACCCAATCAGAATACAAATCAGACTGCTAATCAGAAACTCGGACATCAATGTCGGGTATTTTTAAGGCGCATTCACATGCAAGTATCAAGCAGCGGAAGCAACAACCAATCAGCTGGAAGATACGGGCAGTGGTGTAAAAAAAATATTTTTTACGCCACTGTAAAAACCGCCTCGTTGATTGGTTGCTGTTTCCGCTGCTTGATGCCTGACGCTTGCATGCGAATGCACCTTTAGGTTTGTTCGCGTCGCATACTCCAACATATTCCAATATGCTCCACCATAGCTCTTACTCACTCCAACGCGCTTGTTACAATGAATAGGAGCTATGGTATGACTCTGTTGGAGCATGTTGGAGCTTGCGACGCGAACAAACCTTTTATATATAAAACTTTTGGGGATACCACCCTTTAGGTTTGTTCGCGTCGCAAGCTCCAACGTGCTCCAACATGCTCCTACCATAGCTCCTACTCACTTTATCAAGCGCGTTGGAGTGAATAAGAGTTATAGTAGGAGCATATTAGAATATGTTGGAGCATGCGACGCGGACAAACCTTTTATCCTGCGTTCGGAAACATCACCTGGGTGTCCCTGTGTATCATCTTATCCTTATTTAATATTAGGTGAACAAGGATAAAATGATGAATACACGGTGACACTCGGGTGATGTTTCTGAATGCAGCCTTACATGTTCATTGGTTACCGTATTTACCGCGTAGCATTTTGCCGCGCGGCAAGCAACGGCTAGCGTTTTTGTAACTGTGTGGCGTGTCCATTGTACTGGAGCAAGGTGTCTGTTGTCATCTGTGTGTCACGTTTTATAATAAAACGTGTTGTGGAGTAAAGTGATTAACGAAATATATTTTTTTCATAATTCTGCATGTTTAAGAAACGAAACTGTATATACACACACAACGAATTCTATTCTGTTGTATTTAATTCCTGTTTTGGTTTCACCTAAAAAACATTTTTCTCACATTCTTTGACAATGGCATGTATTGGTTCTCTCTCAACAGTTACTGATCTCGAAGATGTTTTAAGTAAAAAAGATATTAATGAAAAAGTTAATATTGAATCAGATATCTTTAGAGATGTTGGAAAGCTCAATAACGAAAAAATAACACATAGTCAAAAAGAAGAGAAAAGTGTTGAAGAAAATTTAAGAAATATTTGTGATGTTACATCGTTAAATGAAGAAAGTTGCTCTAACCAGGAAAAATTACAAAATAATGAAACTTCTGGTACCTTAGTTAACATTCGCCTAAGCGATGAAATCAATCTGAACAAATCAACAAAAGAAATCGAATTAAAAGTGAATAAGAAATATTGTGATATAGATAATGGCATTAACACTGTTAGAAAGATATATTCAAATCCCATGGGTAATGATTTTGTAGGACAAACTAGTTTATGTGAAACATTAATCAAAAATGCTGATGTTGATAACGAATATTATTCTGGATCAACTGAAACAGACTTACAGATTGCAGAACATAAAAATAATTCCAAAAGTAGGAGTGTAAGAATAATAATAGATAGTGAATCTGAAGAAGACACGCAAACGAGCGAGAGTTATAATTTTCCCCAAAGGGTTCGTCATACTACATGCACTACTGTGAGTAATTACATTATACATATAATAGCATTGTCGCTTCCATTCTATACTTTATGTTGATTCTACAGAGAGTCTGTAATCGATAGTCCTAAGTCTTTTCGGTGAAGTTGATCAATGTCAATTTGTAGGACTAATGCTGATTAGCCAACTTCATCGATTAAAGTAGAGAGCACTCTTGCATAACGTATAATACGTAAGGCATAAGAAATTTAACCAATCATTCCTTATTTCATGGAAAGGAAGGAAACGAAGGACTTTAATTGGTTCATTTTCTTATGCATTACGTGTTATGCATTATACAAAAGTCTGTGCTCTCTGCTTTAGACTAAAGCGGGGAGCACAGACTCTTGCATAACGCATAACACGTAATGCATAAGAAAATGTACCAATCAAAGCCCTCCGTTTCCTTCCTTTCCATGAAATAAAGAATTCTGATTGATTGAATTTCTTATGCATTACATGTTATGCGTTATGCAAAAGTCTGTGCTCCCCGCTTAAGGGAGCGTTTATATTGGCCGTAACCGTATGTCGTATGCCGTAATCTGTAAGAATTGATTAATCACAGTCAAGTATTCTGCGTTTCCGCGCTCATGTAATGGCACCCTTATCCTTGTTATTCACCGAATGTTAAGTCCGGATCTACAATAGGTGTTTTAAGACTTAAGCCGTAAGAAATTGACCAATTACAGTCGAATTCGAGGAAAATAATCGTTTGCCTGCAAAAATTGCCAAAACCAAAAACAAAAATACATTTTGACTAGTGGTTAAACTTAAAACTAATTTTGATCGGTCAAAACCCGTTTTGACCACTGCCCAGGTCAACCGAAATATTAGCATTAATGATATTATAATAATCCGCAAACTTTGAAACAAATTTGAGGAACATTTCCATGGAAGCTTTAAAACTATAAGTATAAAAAATACATAAACATTGTCTTCGTTGTGTAGGCTAAAAGCTATCAGGCTTTAATTGATTCAGAATCAGAGGAAGAAAAACAAAATGAAGAAACAGAATCTGAAAAAAATACACTAGCAAGCGAGAGTAATAACTTACCTCAAACGGTTCTTACTGTAAGTATTACTGTGAGTAACCATATTGTATATAAGTGTTTTCTTATATTATGATTTTAAAATAATATAATAAATTATAAAAAATATTTACAATATACACACATCTTTGTTACAGGGTGAAAATCAAATTTTAGTAGATTCTGAATCAAAGGAAGAAAAACAAAATCAAAAAACGAAAAGCGATACTCATATCGTATTTAATGAAACATCTGGATTTAATGAAAATAAGGATGCTAAAGAAAAACCTCTTAAAAAGAGAGGGGTATGTATGTGGTGTGGCAATAAAGTTCGATGAATGCTATAAGAAAATACAACACTTAAGGAAATGCTGGAATGGCAATTATCATGAATTACACTCAAGTCAAAATTTTCAAGCTGACTTTACGGATTATAAAATGTTTACAAATTTAAAATACATAAAAATAGAAGACCCGGGTGTGTCCATTTCAAAAAAAGATCGTAAAAAAATATTTAAAAAATCACTTTTGGCTTGTACAGCTGAAGTTGAAGTTTGCTTTATATAAAAGTTTTAGAGTTCATATGAATAGCATAAATATCCAGCGGACCTCGAATTACTTGGACAATATTGAGACCTATATTCATAGTGAGATCTTATGTTCAAGACTGTCTTAAGTACAGTCTTAAGAAGTCATGAACCAATCAGAAGACGTATTAACGTCTTAAGACATTACTTAAGACAGTCTTGAAATAAGAATGGACTAAGGCTGGAATCAGACTACGCATTGAAGATTGAGATTAAAGAGTGAAGATTGAAATTTGATCAATGAGGACAAAGGAATTTTAGCTTCTATTGTTTTGATTGGTCAAATTTCAATCTTTCAATCTTCAATCTCAATCTTCAATGCAGTTGATTGCAGTAGTCTGATTCCGGCTTTAGGGTGCGTTCCGAATTACGCATGAAGCGCATGATGCATCATTTGTCATTGTTGTTCATCAAATAATAAAGAAGGCTAAAACGATACATCACGCGCTTCATGCGCAACTCGGAACGCATCCTAAAAATACCGCCCTTTGTAAAACTAAGATTGAAAAAAAAATTTTTAGTTGAACATAATTCACATGTATGCGTATGCTTAGCAAAGATTTAGAATAATAAACAACAGTAATTGTGTTTTCAGTAGGTATTCGATCTTGTAACAGATGATGCTACAATGTGTTAGATAAGGACAGATGTACGTCCTCTACCATTTTGCATTTTTCGCATTAGTTGACGAGTTATTAATTGATGAACATTTTCCAAATTCGCTCAACCTACCGCACGTTCTCCGTTGTTAGGTATGTTGTTTAGAAGCGACATTGATATTGATGCGCCTAGTGACGGCGAACGCGCGCCTCGCTGGGCGGTTTTATCTCGTCGCGCGCTTGCGTTTGGCGGTAAGCTGGGCGAATTTGGCTATTTTCATACATTATTAATTTGTTAACTAATGCAAAAAATGCAAAATGGTAGAAAGCTTTTCTTCTCAGTTTAATTCATTCTGCCCCTATCCGAGAATTTTATCGTTAATTATCAAACACTCTGTATAGCAGAAATAAGATTTGGAAGCTAGAAAAAAGGCTATTATTTTTTAAACTTTATTTATTAATAATTTTTGAACGGACAGTAACCGTCACCTAAAACTTTTTGAAGGTCACTTAGGATCATGACCTTGACAACATATGTCAAGGTCAAGGTCATCGGCGCCGTGCCCGTTAATCCGAATAATTACCGATTACTTTGAAAGACAATACAAATTATTTGTATATTAATTTAATGGTAAACAATTGTGATAAATTTGAACCGATGAAAGTAAATCTAATTAGACAAGAGAAATCTTATATTTGACCGAAGCAGATCTTACAATTAGTGCTTAAATATTTCAGTGTAAATTTATACATATCTGATTCTGCAAACCGCATGCCGAAATCTTTTTCGGCCTTAAAACGAATATAGGATTTCTTTTATTTAATTAGATTTATTCTCATCAGTCCAAATTCGTATTATAATTATTAATCATACGTCTCCTTGAAAAATTCACTCACTAGTTATTATTGCGACAAATATTGTCGAAGTTTCGAATGGCAAGGATGCTCGTATAGCATACTGAAGATCCGAGTTCGAATCCCGACTGAGACAATGTTTTTCGTACTAAATTGTTTACAGTTTTTAAGATGTTTATAATAACATAAAATAATTAATATTTTTTTAAGAAATATTCTTACTAGCATAAAAAATTAATAAATTACTTGTAAATTTAATAAATGATATATATATTACTACTTTGGTTCTGCTCATAATTGAGTTTCAAAACCGAAAAGGATTTCGGTGCTCGGTGATTTTAATCAGATATGTATATAAATTTACACATAAATATTTAAGTACTAAAATTTGCTTTGACCGCGGATATAGAATTTCTCTTATAGTTTATTTTCTCATGACATTCACCAAACATTATTGCCACACCACATTTACAGTTCTTGAACATCTATTTTTTAGCCCGTTATTAGTTGTTTTAATAATTTATAATAATTATGACAGCACAATAAGAATCTAAAATATAACATTTAAAGCAGTGTTGTCTAAGATTTGTAGAATTCTGGCCACTAACTTGATATACAATACATTGGTATATACGGTTATCTGTATTAAGAAAAAGGAAGACACGTTAGACATAAACATCAGTACGCGTCACGCTAACATGCCACAGTTACAAATCTTGGCCAACAATGGATGTAGCTGTTACATTATAGCAGTTAATATAAAATATAATCTTTTAAATTAATAACATTTTGATCTTATAATATATAGGGCTCTATAAGAGCTTCTAAAGATGAGGCAATGCGTCAGATACATAGCGAAAGTCAACGTTTATTGAGAGAAACAGAAATTTCTTTACCATATCACAGGCCAAAACAGCGTACATTACAAGAATTCTTGAATAGAAAAAGAATATCAGCTGCTTTTCCGAAAGCACCTTCAACGGCAGCGAAACTTAAGATGTCATCTGCGATAGTAAGGTAAGTATTTGCATATGTATGTATATGTATAAATTATAGATATATTAGGTTATATAGAGTGTCCGGTAATGACCGCATCATTTCTTGTGAGCAGGTAGAGCGAATTGAATTGAGTAAAAAAGTCCTCTATCATTTTGCAATTTTTATGCAAAAATTGTAGGGTACTAAGTTATCCATTATGTAGTGATATTGATTTGATATTGCAAATCCGACTGTGCAATCTCCGCATAGTGTACTTTAGATAACGCTAATATACGCGGCAGTATTTAAACTTTCGCAGCGCATGTCAAATATTTTTTTCGCTAAATGGAACTTAATCATACTGTTTTGAAAAGATCTTGATGTTAGCTACAAGAATTTGCAATTAAAAAAATAGGAGTTCCCGTTAAAATAACTCAAGGCGACCTTGATGTGATATTCCTAAGATTGTTCAAGATCAATTCAGTATCGCTATAATGGGCTTGCTTGGTGTCCTATAACTTTTGTACTGAAAATTTTACATGAAAATGTCAAATAATTCGATTTCGAAATAATTCAGCGTCCTGACCTTTTTGTGACACCCTATATACATATATTATACACATTATACTATATTTAAATGTATGCTCACACGCACAGTTTTACAAATTTGTTTTTAAAACATAAATTATATTTACATATAATTTTAAACAGTCAGGTGCTTGCGGAAAAGGAAAAAGAAGCAGAACTTTTTTACAAATCTTCAGATTCGGAAGATGATGTACAATCTATGCCTTTGGTTAGTAAAAATATAAAAAAATGTTCCATTAGAAATGAAAGAGAGATGTCATCAATATGTATTGAGCATACACGTATTCAAAATCCTAAAAGGTTTGAAACAAGTAATCAACATTCTCAAGCTATCAGAAAAGAGATTGTACAGAAAAATCATTTAGATGTTAATGCGTGTGAGGTGTTACTTCAAAATGAATTTTGCGAAGTAGCTCATCGAGTTGTAGAGTTAGCTTCCTCAGTAGATGATAACTGTAATGCGAACAACGGATCTGATACATTACTATCACAGATAACAAATGAATATAATCAAAATCTTCCAAAAATTAGTTTATCAAAAAAATTGGTTGACATACATTTTGAAAATGATGGTTGTGAAATATATCTCGATGAACAAGAAGTAACAGAAAAAGAAACAGCTAAAACTATTATTTCTTTGAATAAGGAGAAATGCATTAATGACGACAAAAAGTTAAAAATTACTGTGACAGAGAATCAAATATCAAAAGTGCATCAAGGTGATTCCGATGTAATTAACAGAAGAGATAAAAATTTGGTTACAGAAGCAACGAAAATAGGAACAGCTTCTAATAGCATAAATAGTAAGGGAGTAACTGAAACATTTCAAAATGATAATGACACAACAGATAAAATTATGTGTTCAAATTCTGATGAGTGTACTACACAGGATATAAATAATGAAAAAAAAAATCAATATTCTAAAATAAATGACGTATCGTCATCATCTCTTATAATTAATGACACTCAATCAAAAATTCAATATAATTCTTCAGCAGATGAATGTGAAAAAATTGATGGTCACCTACAAAGTTTACTTCTTTCAAAATCCGCAGACGAGACTTTCGCGAATAGGAAAAAGTTATCAGCATTAGTATCCAATTCGAAAATTGCATTAAGAGGATCGCCAGGTATGATTATTGATCTAACAGACGATGCAAAATCAAATGTAAAAGGTGTAAATATCTTATTAAATAGATTTTTCTGTAAACATGTTAATTCAAAAAAACAGAATGATAATAAATCTGAAATAACTGCTGTACACTTACAAAACACGCAGAATAATCTTCCAATTAAAGAAGTACTTCCATACAAGACACCTGTTAACATTGATGATTCTGAATTGAATAAGCCTGGAGCAAAATTAATGCGTTTAAAGGAAGATTTGAAATTACAAATGATTTTAAAGCGTAACAAAGTATGGAAACTGAAAGAAATAAAGCAGCAAACGCAGGAGGAAGAATGGAATAGAGAGGAAAAAGATGATTATAATTTAGATGAACAAGAACAAGCTGAACTAGATTTTGAATTGAGTGACAGTGAAGAAAGCGAACTCGAAGAGAATGACGTTTGCATTAAAGATAAGAAAAAGAGTAAATGCCTATTTGCAGATGACGAAGCTGAAGTTACAGACAATGAAGATTCAAGTACAGAAGAGACGTGTGATGAAAGTAAGGATTATATAGAATATAGTAAACAGTCTATAAATTTCAAATATAGAAAAGAATACATGGACAACGATGTAAGTGAATTAGAAACCGATCAAGAAGAAGAAAATGATGATGACGAAGATAAATATGAAGAAGAAGGAAAAGAAGAAAATGAAAAAAGTTTAAATGCAAATATGGAGAATGGAAATGAATCTGATTTTAAAGATGTTGACAATGTTAATACTTGTGAAAGCTTTAACATTACTAAAAATGATAGAAAAACGAGAAAGTTAATAGAAGAGTTCCAAAACGATTCAAACGATACAAATCCGAGCTATTTACAAAATGAAAGCAGTCAATTAAATATGCCGACAGACGTAGATGCATCTAAAACACATTGCGATGATATTGATTGGATAAGTGAAAATGAAAGCAATATGCCTGTTTGTCAACAAGAAATTACTACAAGAAGCCAGATATGTAAGACACCTTTGACGAAAACAAGTATGCTCGATTTGGTTTCTCCTATAACGCAATTAAGCGTATTGAATACTACCTTAGAAAATGAAAAAGATTCATCACAAAAAAGAGAATGTCTAGTTGATAAATATGAATTCTTTTCTATGAAAAGTACACAGAATGATGAACTTTCTGAACATATATGTGATGTAAAAAATAAATCTATTTCAAAAAAAAAACTGTTCGATGATATTGGAGAAACTGTTGATGATGAATATCTTATGCGATTGTGTTCTGGTAAATTTGAATCTCCGCAGAGAACTGATACAAATTTATTTTCGCAATCTAATATCACTGAATTGCAGTTACGTGACTCTAAATGTTCTAGAAATTCTAACGCAAAATTAGTTGCTGTTAAATTAAAAAATTCAAAAGACAAAATTCTTCAAAATATAAAATTGACGTTAGATGAAGATTCTAATAATTCTGTAAATCATGCAAAGAAAATAAATATAGTTAGCGCAATGGATTTGGAACTAAAATTAAAAGTTACGTCCTCGGATGACGAGGATGAAGATACATTTCTAAAACCTAAAAAACGTTTAGTCAAAGTATTGAATTTGTCTGATTCGGAAGAGGAGAATTCTCAATTCTTCGATAAAGAAGATGATATAAATAGTGAAGAGAAACAATATGTTGATTACGATTCCGAGGAAAATGAAATGATAATTGTGCCAGAAAAGGATATAAAAAAAGTTGCAGCTGGTTTTGTGGAAGAAGAAGCAGAGTTAAGTGAAAGTGATTGGGATTCTGCCGATGAAGACGAGAAGAACTTGGATAAATTAGAATTTGAAGAAGCTGATGATGAACACATAGACGAACACGAAGTGAAAGATCAACTGGAAAAGATCCATATAAAACAAATATTAGATGAAGATAAAAGGGAAGTGAGATTGCTGAAAGAATTATTATTTGAGGATGGCGATTTACATACTGATGGAATGGGACGTGAGCGTAAATTCAAATGGAAAAATATAGGTACAAGAATATATATATATTTTTTTTTAAATTTATTGTGTGATTATGATAATTTTTTTTGAATGACAGACGATGATTATCAGAAAATACTTTTTCTCTTTTAAGATATTTTATAAGATTTAAATTTCCAAAATGTAATATTTGGTATGCTTCAATATGTGCATGACTTTATGTTTTTGTTTAGATAAGTTAGGAAATAATATTGAAATGTCACAAATATCTGACGAGAACGAAGGCTGGGTGGACATGCAAGAAGATGAGGAAGAAGCAAAGTGGAGTAAACTTAAAAATGAAAGAGACAGATTTCTTGAGGAAAGAATGGTACAAAATTATTGTGTGTAATAATCGCATTTAAAGAATATAGGTATAGAATATTTCTATAGATGTATCTTATGTATTTACAGAAGTGCTCAAATAATGAAATTGAAGATGAATTATGTCATAGTAAAATCTTTAAACTCGGACTGGAAGCTGTTAAAAAGATCAAAGGTAATGAGTCACAAACACGAGATACTTCTCTCGACAAGGTAAATTCTTTTGAGAATATAGAACCAATTATGCCACGGAATATAACAGATCTCTTGAATGGACCAAGTATTGGGAAGAAATCTCAGACGATATATGTAAGATTATCAATTTATCAATATTTATGAAAATATGGCACATATTGTCGCATTTCATAAGCAAATGAATAAGTAATAGTTTGTATAAACAGGGTGTTTGATAGTTAACGATTAAATTTTCGCATAGAAGCAGAATGGAGACTTAATAGAAAAGTCCTTTATTATTTTACAATTTTTGCAATAATTAATGAGTTATTGGGTGCGTTCAACAGAACGCAACCGTTGCGCGACAGTTTACTGATGAGTTGCAACATGTTGAGTGTTCTGCTGCTCTCTTCTAGCATGAGGCCTGTTCTTTTTGGCTGAACTTTTGCACCAGTTCATCTTTCTTCTTTTTCTCTCCAGGAGGAAAGAAGAGGAAGAAAGATCAACTGATGCAAAAGTTCAAAAGAGCAGGCCTATGGTTGACATATGCATCGGTACAGGAAACTCCAACCTTATGGTTTCTTCTCGATTGCATGCTGATTCGATCTCTAAAAATCGATCTACATACCGTTTTGTAACTTTTGACGATTCTCAAATGTATCTACTACATTATAAATAACCTGTTTATATATAATGTCCTGCAAATATCGACTCATTGGACGCAGCCATTTTGTTCAACACGTTTTAATTGTGACTCAATGTACTTTTAATTTGCTGGAAATCATATCGGCGACCGCTGAGTAAACATGTTGAGACGTTGAGTGCACTTGGACTGTTCAGTCCAACCACAGGGACTGTTCAGCAGACAATCATAAAACGGTTGCACAACAGTTGAGTCTGCTGAACGCATCCATTAATTTATGAAAATAGTCAAATTCGCCCAGCCTAGCGCCAAATGCAAGCGCGCGGCGAGACAGAAGGCGCGTTCGCCGTCGCTAAGCACATGGAAAGTTATTGTTTATTAGCAGAAATGGCTACGCACGAGTCGCGTATGGCATTGGATTTCCGCTTTGAGCTATGATTATTATTCCTTTATTAAGCTCGTTAATTATTGCAAAAATTACAAAATGATACAGGGCTTTTCTACTCAATTTAATCCATTCTGCCTCTATACGAGAGTTTAAGCATTTTTCAGATACCCCTGTACATACCTATATGTATATACATATACATACAAATTTATACTTATTACATATAATTTACAGAATGTTATAAAAAAACGTTCACTCTTAACTCGAGGAGAAGAGTCATTAGCGAGGATAGCATCATTGGCAAAACAAGGTGACTCTGTCTCTCATGCGGTAAATATAAGAAATTTTATCTTTCCACGTATTGATCAAGACACAAATAATACACTTAAAAAGGAGACCGAAATAACAGCAGATTTGGATTTACAAATTAAGGTACATAATTTAATTATATAATGTCAATTATATAAAATACATTGCTATTGTACATTGCTCATTTGCTACAATGATATAGCTATAACATTTCAAAATTAAAATTACAAAATTTTAATGATTCAAAACATTCACTCATTTTTTAGAAAACTTCATTTCTTGATTTGTACAGTGATGGAACATCTAATAGCAAATAAGCGACACATTTTTCATTTATCAAATTTTTATATACTACTATTGAAAAAAATATATATATTTTTTTAAGACTCCTTTTTGCAGACTGGAAAGAGAAAGATGAACTCAAATACATCATCGATATTGAAAAAAAGGCGAAAATAAAGTTATTTTTTATAAAAGAATAATAATTATTTTATTTATATATAATATGTGAAGACTCTTTTTTACAAATAACATTTAATATAAATTTTATATATATAAATGAAATGATATTCTATTTTTGTTGAGCTACTAAAACTTGTTAGATGTACAAAAATGTTAATAATACCTGACTATTTGATATAAAAACTGTTCCTTTTTGAGATGAGAAAGCAATGAAGTGCAAATGGTTAAACGATTTTGAATAGCCAATTCAGACAATTTGTGTTCTTTTTGCGAACTCATTTGCCTTCTTTTTTAATCTTTCCCATTGCGTGTAAATGATCAGAAACAGATGATTTACCAACAGTTAATGCTTCAGCTAATTCTTCAAGCGTTTGAGTTGAGTTTTCATCCAATGCCTGCAATTCGGCATCTTCGAACTTTTTTGGTTGACCTGACGTTCTTTGTCTTTCAAATAAAAATCACTACTTTTAAATCATCGATACCAGTACTCGATACACGTTTTAAGTGATGGAACAGACTCAGAATAAGTTTCTGAGATGAATCGGTTAGCTTCGGCAGCCGTTTTCTTTGAATCAAAGCAGTAAAGTAGTAGGTAGGTAAATGACGAAAATGCTCTTTATCACGTTCTATTTTCAGTCGCACTAAAAAGTACAGTTACGTTTACGAATGCACAGAACCTGTGTCAAATTATTTGTAGAAATATCCAAGCTTTGAAATGACATACTCAATTTCAAAATATTTTTAGTAGCTCTATAGCCATCTGTAGTGAGTCCTCAAAACTAACCAGAACATCTAATAGTAAAAACATAAGATTTCAAGTATACATATACAAGAATTTTCAGATTTTTATACAATTCGGAACAATTTTAAAAAATCTACTGTAGACCTCAACCTTAAAGCTCTATTTTACGGGCAAAAAGTGAAAATTTCACATTGCCGGCGAAGGATTAAATTCGTAATCATAATTATTATGATTAGTTTTGTAGGACAAATGACAGGAATATAAAGTATTTATATAAAAAATATAGAAACTAGACCCCCCCCCCCAAAAAAGGAAAAATGAATGTCTTTCTTCAAATCTCATCTCTTTTTTTAAAGATTTGTTCTATTACATTGTTAGCTTTATCTATAAAAAACATAACGTTTGACGATGTTCAAAATACAACGGACGTAAACAGTGATTGTTTTCTAATGTTGAAAAACATCGTATGAAATATTTTACAATTTTTCGGCTTTACACGCTTGATCATATTACAAACTTTCGATTCTTTTTTTTGACACACTATTTCAGTATCGGAAATTTGGGTTATCTGTTTGCCACCCTTTCGCATTTGGTCCAAATTGATACACCAGTCTGCGACCAAGTACTGGTAGAAATATTTTGCTCTTGTAATAGTACCTAAAAAGCATCATTTTGCAAAATAATTAATATAGCAATATCTAAATATATTTAAATTATTTCACAAGATATTAAAAATTTTATTATTTATTATTACCTCATAGCTCGACTAAGTTTTTCATAAGTCATTTTTGTATTTCCTTTCCGTGAACCCCATCGTTTTGCCACTTCGTCGCTTTTTACGAAACGAAATTTAGCTTGTGAATAGTCTTCCCAGCAGATTAAACTTGGACATGTTTCTCTATTACGTAGTAAATCTCTAATAAATTCCCATAATTTTCCTTGACTCGCGGCTACAAAAATGCAGTTAAATCATATAATTCAGTGAATATGTTTAATATTACATATGTTTCTCTTGATTCATATATGTAATTGTATATCAAGAAATATATTTCGCAAAAATTTATTGCTGAATATCCTGATATTCTAATTACTCGTGCAGATAAGAGTAATTCGACAGCATTAATGAATTTAACTGAGTATAATAGGAAAATGCATGAGATCTCGATAGTGTTCCATCGGAAACATATAATTTCTTATAAGTAAATATATCAATGTATTTCCTATCCTTCCTAGTCAAAAGTGTGCGTATTTCAGTAATCATTTTATTTGTGGGATCTTGATTAATATTCAAGTATATTTTATCAAATAATAACATATACTTGAACATTAATAAAGATCCCACAAATAAAATGATTACTGAAATACGCACACTTTTGACTAGGAAGGATAAGAAATACATTGATATATTTACTTATAAGAAATTATATGTTTCCGATGGAACACTATCGAGACCTTATGAGCTTCCGAAGATACACAAAGAAGGTAATCCGTTGAGAATGATAGTTGTATTAATAGTCTGCACCAGGGCAGACTATTAATACAACTATCTATATTTCATAATAATTGAGCATATATTAAACATAACGTATTATACATGGTTCTTATACGTATAATACCATGTATTATACGTACTTTTTTACATAGATTTTATACGCATTATACATATTATACACACGTAAGCAATATAAGAAACTACTCGCAGCTCTAAATTGCTCAATTCTGGTCCTCACTATTCTCTTGCTACATATTTGAAAGAAATTATTGAAAAAAGTTTAAAAAAAGAAATTGGTGATATCAAAAATAGTTATGAAATAGTAAATAAATTAAATGGAATGCCATTAGATCAGAACTATAAACTTGTTTCCTTTGACATAGTATCTATGTATAGTCAAGGCTTAAAAGGTTGCAACACTTTTTTTAAATGGGTTTCGGAATGCAGCCTACTCACCGAGCAATTGGTTTTTATTTGTCAATCCATGAATAAGACTCAATCACTCGGTGAGCAAGCTGCATTCCGAAATCTATCGAAAAAAAAGTGTTGTAACCTTTAGGCTCTGACTATACACTAATATTCCTACAGATTTAATTCTAAAAAGTATCGAGGATGAAATTCTATATAAAAAAAATATTGGTTCCGAAACAAGAATTCTTAACGGCTATATCTTGTTCGCAATTCTACTTTCTTTAAATTTGATAATAAATACTTCAAACAGATATTTGGTCGAGGAGGAAACCGCTAGTTGAAATACGAGGGCGGTTCGAAAAGTTCATGCAAAGTCTAAAATACGGCACCACCAGTACGTATCTAGATTATTTTTAGTATCTGGCAACTCTTGGAAGATTACACACCAAATTTCAGTGAGATAGATCCATTACTCTGTGTTTGGCATTTATTTGAATCGATCAAGTACTGTGATTTGTGGGAAATGAATAAGAAAGAATTTCGTGTAGTTTGATCATAAAATTGTTCCATTTACGCTACGAAGTCCAAATTTAGAGAATAGATAGAATGCGAAAGGACTTTGTAGCGTAAATCGAACAATTTTGTGATTTATTTCAATTGTATAGAAAATGATAGACATACTGAAGATGATCTGATCGAGACCGAAACGTTTATGATTGTTTTAACTGATTTGTTCAATTATGTATATCAGAACAGAATCAATATATATATATATATATAAACTTAGATTTACAGAAGTTTTTTACTACTAATATCTTACGTTATGGTACATGCCCTTTGTAATTATTATATATTTCGTAGTTATGCTTACTATTTTTCTTAGTCTTTAATACTCTTGGTCTACCAGGCAGCCTTTTGGTTGCAATTTCGATACTATTATCTGATTCCGCATCTGGAAAAAACAAGAAAATTGTTTAAAATAATTATGATCCCAGATAGGACAGAAAGTTCTTCTTTGATTTCCGATTTACGAAATGAATTCTTTTTCTATCTCATTTTTGTTTTGAAAGTATTCCTAAGAGTCCCAAAAGAATTAACTTTTATATCACCAATAGTGACCTCTTTTTCAGATTCAAAAAGTAATCTTTGTCTATAAGAATTCGCAATGAAATCGAAATAACTTTTAAATGTTATTTTAATGGAGCTCTGCAACTTCATTTTTTACTCTCTGTTTTTTCATCACAGTCTAAATTATAGTCCCAAGTTTTCAATTCATTATTCAAAGAATTTTATGTTATCAATTGTGAGCTCTTTTTCACATTTAAAAGGTATTCTTTTTCTAGCTCTTTCTTTTTCTTTTGTATAAGAATAAATCATACTTCTAATATTATTTTTACTGAAGGTAACACATACATATATACATATAATTATATTTGTGTATACTTGTGAATTCTTTTTGAGTTCATTTCGAACAGATTAAGTACGCTAATTCACAAAGAACAAGAAGGTGCATTTTTTTTCGAGTTCAAATAGATCAGTTGTGCTATCTAAAATATGTTCAACTGTTCATATGTTCATTTATATGTGTGTTTATATACGTATTATGTAATTTTATATGATTTTATATAAGTAAAAGATAATAGTTCAGTTATTCAAAGTATTTTTTTAAATTATTTACCGGATATGTTGCTAGAATTGACTCGCGTATATTCATCCTCCGATTGCGGCTGAATGGTATCAAATGGTGGTACTATATCAAAAATTAATAGATTGTATTAGATTTGCAGCACACTCAACAATCATTTTGCATTCGCATTATTTATTTACTAACAAAGGAAGATTCGCAACTCAGAAATTCAAAAGTTTATAGTTTCTACTAATTACAGTTAATACATCGCAAATTATAATTGAGTATATTGGGAATTCTAATGGAGAAAGAAATAGCGGAACGAAAAAATAACGGAAAAAAAAAATGGTGAGGTGCTAAGAAATCATGGAAAGCCCGAATACGAAAAGCGGAACAAAATCTGCAGCCTCCCACCGTGTTTTCTTTCCGTCACTGTTCTGCTTTTTCCTTCTCCACGAGGATGCACAAGATAAAATCATAGGGTAAATGTCCTAATTACTACCGCTTGTTTTAATTGCGGCATTTATATAAAAGTATGAGATCGTTATACGTTAAGAGTATTTTTAATGTTAAACTATAACTGTCATATAAATATAAGCACAATTGTATAAGATATTCGATGTTTTATATATTTATAAAATAATTAAAGAAATTAAGAAATGTCACTGAAGATACAAACTCCATCTTCTAATGATCTTCTAATTAGAAGTGAAGCGGAACTGCATGATTTGAAAGTGCAAGCAAATGTGGTATTTTTACTTTTTTATATGTATTAAAGCAATTTTATAATAATATTTAAATGATATTTCAATAAAATAAGCAAAGTGATGGATTACTTTTTTATTTAATTTATTGAAATGGTAACATTAGGGACAATTATTTAAGGTTTGCTTGCATTACTTCCGGCAGTAAATGAGTTCTGTTACGAGTGAATATGTACCAATGCGCTAGTAACTATATTGTCATACAACATTGACGTTTTTGGTTATCTACTAGGTAGGTATTCTTAGTGTAAAACGATGTGATAAATATTACTATCGGGCATCACTAAATAATAATACTTGGAAAGTATTTTCTTCTCTGTTGTCTGTGTAATAATTAATGATATATTTTGTTACTGTGCACATTGTGCAGTAATTGGGTGGTAGAATTTGGTACACGGGCAATAAATAGGGAGGCAGTATTAGGTACATGTGGCAGTAATTGAGAGGACAGTATTTGGACAAAGGCTGGCAATAATATGTTCAATATCTCACATATTGTTTTTTTCACTATATTTAAATAATTAGTTAGTTTTCGAGCTTGTTGCTTTTATTTAGTGTATATTAAAGTTTCTATTTGAATATAATAAAAAAAGTAATGTCTATTATATATAATATCTTAAAAACTTCAAAATAAGCTTCTCAATTACCATTATATGCTTAAAGCGGCAGTAACTGGGACATTTACCCTATCATGGTGAAAAATTTTCTTAGAATTTTTTGTTATATAAAAGCCGTAGCCGAATAAGGGGCCCCAGACTTCAAAAAATTCGAAACTTTTTAAATGAAAAGGAAACTAATTTAGGCACAGTATTAATTTTTAATACAGTATACGAGAGATATCGCTGAATTGATAATAGCTGAATTTTAATTAAAATATTATATCTTCGAATATATATATTTAAAAATTTTGAAAAAAATGTTTCAAAAAAGTTAGACTAACTTAAAAAAAAAAGTTGGCGGAGTTTACTTTAAGATTACAAAAAAATTAAAATATTTTTTAAACATGAAATTCATAGTGATACCTCTCGAGTACACCCACGTAATTTTCTTGGTAGAAGAACATTTTGTTGTATCTTTAACATAATTTTCTCGAAATTTTTAAATTGATATTTCATAGGTATTTCATAAAATTGATATTTCATTTATTGTCAAATCATGAGTCTTGGGACGGTTCAGTGTGATTCCAAAGGAATTCCAAGACTATTAAGTTCTACACCTCCATAAATCTATAATGAACAACAAGAGCGATAGAATTCGTTAAGTATTATATTGCGAGAACTCTTATAATAATTTATATTTCATTGAAGAGGACCGTATTAAAGGTCGAAACGTTTATATATTGTATATGTTATTGTAATTATCATACAAGAATATAAAATTAGCACACGAAAACTTGGCTCAGATAGCCCCTCTCATTACACAACTTCATTTATTATCAAACAAGCTTTTCATGGAACAAATGCAAATATCAAATGCTTAAATAAACCAATTGATGATAAAATGCTGCTGTTACGTTCAGTGGACTTCACGATTTCTCGCGACCGTTCAATCAATAAAGTAAGATACGAACAAAATCAATCGATAACACAAATCCGAAGAAACTTTCTCAGCAGAAAAAATGTTTATTTAGAATCAAGTAACCCTCGATAATCAAGCGTTCAACCTCCTCTCGAGCGTCGAAATCAACAAATAATCATTATCAAATCACATCGTTGGCACCAAGGTGCTAAGCTGGATTAAGAACCGATTCTCGCGATAAGAGTCATAGCGCGGACGTGATACTCGAGAGAAGATGAGATGTTGAATCATCTCACGCCGATATCACGTACGTCTAATGATAATAGTCCTACGCATAGGCTTAAGAAAGGGTCATAAATTTAATAATGACACCTTCTGATATCAGAAAAATTGTGACTCACGCTTCTTGCTTCCCAAGGAATACGATTAACTAAATCCCGAGATGTTTGCTCATCACTAACGTGACAGCAGTTTGATAAAACATAGATAATTTTTCAACTTGTAGCTAAGCTCTAAGTAAATGCTGATAAAAGAGAAATAGATAATTTACAACCCATTTCTCCCAGAAACGAAACTCTCCAATGGGCGACCGTGAATCCGAAACTCTTTAGGAAGGATATGCAATAAGAATAAGAGCGAATCAAAACTGACACAGCGGGCGGAGCTAACTTGAGGGCAATTTCCCAATGACCAGTCAAAACTATATCAAAATCCTGCGAACCTGATTTCCCAATTTCCCAACTAGACACATCCTCCCAAAGGAGTCCTATATAAACCGTGACACAACGAGACTCGCTCTCTTATTTTTGTCATTTATTTTGTCATACTCTCTTATTTTGTCATTTATTCGTCTTATATTTTGTTATATTTGCCAGCACACGATTTCGTCACGTATACAAGGTTTCATATGGCTTTCGTTAAATCGTTTCTGCTTTATAAAAATCTTGATCTATGCGCATTCTTTTAATCAAATGACGAACATCACATTGGGCTCCGATGCGAACATCTGATGCGAACATTTCGACAGTAGAAAATTGTAAGTCTCATGGATTATTATTTATCCCCGAAATTAAACTAATTCGCTAAAGAGTAAATAATTCTCTAGTTCAAATAATGTTCTATTAAATAATCAAAATGTTATCAAAATTAACGGAATCGACGGAACAGCAAATTTTCGCGCTCAACACCTTTTCTTCCTAAAAGCGCTTTCCCAGGACAGCCACCAAATGTTCACATTCCGGTACTACTTCCTCGATCATCTTACCCATATTTTGTTCCTGTAGGAATTTTCTACAACCTCTTCCCTCTTTCCTCTATCGTAATTCATGAATTAAATTAATTCTACCCATATCGCCTCTCCAGCTCCGCCAGCACACGCATGCACGCACGCACACTCTAGATTCACGCTCGCCCTATCTCTTAATTCGCTAGCGGCACAAATATTTTTCTTTATCTTTTATAATTAACCAGTAATTGTTGCGATCAACAATTAATGACGTCAGATGGTCGAGCTTTGGTTCTCTTTGTGAAACAGATTATAGTAACATGTATATAAATTTAATTTTTCAATGTTAGCTTATAAACATTATTTCTATATTACTTTTAAGCGCATATAATGAAAATCTCATTAACATATTGTAATTTATGTTTAGTAATAAGATAGAACTTTGTTAAGATGATTACTTTCCATTCATTTTAAAAATCACACACAAAGACCTCGTACTCTCACCGTTTTTCAGAGATCGCACGTGGTCCAGTCCCGAGTTATAAGGATTAATTTCCTTGATTCAAAATTCGAACCAACGTACGCACTGCTCGTAGGAAACAGGTATTATAGAGTCCCTTCGGGACGTTAACCCATATTCCAGAGCGATAAGAAGTGCTCTTCGATTCTCAGGTGTTCGCCTCTGCGCGTATACCTGTGAGATAAAGTCTAAGCGTTCTTCCACACCCTCTCCATCTCCATCCTTGTCTCTCCCATTGAATCTAATTTCGAAGAGCTTGGACGTAACATTGCCTAACATAGGAATATATTTTCGAATTGCATCATTTCTTCACAATAAATATGGAAAACAATTATCATCAGATAAAGAACTTTCAGATGAGATAGTAAATAAAATGAAAATGGAAAGGAATATATTAAATATATTAGCTGTAGAAGTCGAGGAAAAAGGTTGGTTAAGAAAAAAGCTTCCGTCCGAAAAAACATTTTGTCGGATAAATTATTAAACTTTTTTGAAATGTCATTTACTGATCTTGAAATATTTTTTACTGGACCTTATCAACTTAACCAATCGATTTCATATTTGACTGAAGTGCTTAATGATGAAGGCTTATTAAACGTACAATACGTAAAAAATCAAAGTAACATACTCAAACTGAAAGTTCAATCACATATATTTTTTTCAAAATTTTTAGATACATATATTCGAAGATAACATTTTAATTAAAATTCAGCAATTATGCGATTTCTCCCATATACTTACGTGTATATTAAAAATTAATATTGCGCCTAAATTAGTTTTGTCCTTTTCATTTAAAAAGTTTCGAATTTTTTGGAGGCACTTTTACCCTCCTTATTTGACCTTTAATAATTTTTTTAGAAAATTTCTCACATCTTTTATATGAATTAGAACATTTTTCAAAAATACTAAGACAATCGATATTTTTTCTGTAGAACTCTTTATGTATTAGAATTTTAGAATATTTTAAGATTTCTCATTTTATAATTTCCAAAGAAAATTTATAAAACCTAAATAAGTTTAAGGAATTTTTTTTAGAAATCTTCATAAATTAGAATATGGAAAATCTAAATTTATCGTTACATTGAATTCGAAATTTTTGGCGATTTTCTATATCTATAAATATCTATAAATATATTATTTATATCTATAAATATATTATATTTATAAATGTGGCAACGTGTATACATACAAAGGTTTGATATACGTTGCGAGTGGAGAAGATTGTACAATCGGTCTCCGTACACAGGATCGTGATTAATAAAATCTTCTCGCGTAAAAGTAACAATTTCTTTCCCGGACACGGCGAGACTGTGCTGAATGGAGCTGTAAGGTTGACCAATATATGACGCAGCTGACATAAGCCAATTTATTGTTTCCTCTTGACACCAGGTTCTGATAGGTTTGTCGGACCATCCAGTGCCGTCGATCTCCTTGCTTTCGTCACCTATCAAAACGAATTTAGAATCAGATCTACAGGTAATATCTGTCAATCCATGCTATTTGTATATTGAAACCATATAATAATTTTACGTTTTGAATGCAAAATGTTTTAGATCGAACGATTAAATGCTGAAGTCAGTATAATTTCCCATAAATCGTTGTAACATGTTAATGTTAAACAGTCCCGGGAAAACCTTATATATATATATATATATATATATCAGTGAGTACGTCGGTAATCGCAGATAACAAGAAAGTAATTTAAACCTTAATTCACTATAGATAAGTAAGAAAATTGGAAAGATAACATATTAATTATCTCCTGAAGTTATTTTTTGGTAAACCTTTACATTAGAGGACACCTATTCGATGACCTTGACCTTGATGTATGGTATGTTATAAAGATGAAGATACTGATCAACTTTTCCTTATAAATTAATCGGCGGACTCTTATAGTTTCTGAGATATTTAGACTTAAAGATCTATTTTTTGTATTAAATCTTTCTATTCGTGTAAGAAATTTTCTGCTTTACAATATATTTTATGACTTTTCGTGCGCCCCTGAAGCAGGGAGGAAGGTAGGTGAAAGTCGCTTCGCATGGAAAGTCGTATTTTAAAGCAGAAAATTTCTTACACGAATAGAAAGATTTCGTACAAGAATTAGACCCTTAAGTCTAAATATCTCAGAAACCATAAGAGACCGTCACTTAGTTGTTAAGGCAAAGTTATTTAAAATCATGATCTTGACAATATATGTCAAGGTCATCGGCGCGGTGTCTCTTAATGCAAATAATTATCAAATTATACTCTAAATACCTCAGAAGCTATAAGAGACCGCCGATTAATTTGTAAGGAAAAATTGATCAGTATCTTCACCTTATAACATGTCAAGGTCAAGGTCATCGAAGAGGTGTCCCTCATGTAAAGGTTTACCTTCTAACTCACTATGTTAGTGCGTATACGTATATGCGGTATTAGAACGATATAGAGCGGCCTGGCATACCTTCCTATACTAGATAAATGTCCTCCTCCTAGGGTAACAAAAGTTACCCTCTCTTTAATATTTTTCTCTTTCCTTTTCAATCATATAAATAAGTAGCTCGGAAAGATATTTAAAAAAAATTACACACTCTTGTTAAAATAAAGTTTCCATCTTCTATTTGCAGACTTTCTGCATACGGAATGATCTTGTAATAGGTAATCGTCATAACACAGATATGCTAAATATATTAGATTTAATTTTCAATAACTAATTTATCAAACTAAAATTATATTAATTTTAATTAGAATCTGGAAATTTTGATGCTCACGCAACGATCAATAATACAATGTAATATCGATAAAGAAACTCTGAATAACTAATTAAAGCGAAGAAATCCGCAAGAAGTTCTAAAGATTGAAAATATACCATCTACAACCTAAATTGATTAACGAACGTGTTAAAATTTTCCTTTGTATTATAACTAGTTGATTTAACATTTGTAAAATTTATTGTGTTTTAATTATCTTATGTAATTTATTTAAATCATTTTATTGCATTTTATTTATCTGAGACTTATTGTTAGGTAATTTATTTATATCATTTTCTTGTTTGACTTGACATACTGCAAATGGCCAAATTTTGACCAAAACGTCTGTAATTTTTATACATTTAACATAATAAATTTTAAATATGTAACTTTGCGCTACGATCGAATATCCAGTGTGTGATGTATGCTCTTTTTATTTACTGTTTATAAAAAATAGTGTCTCTTGGGTTTACTTTTTAATCTGGTATAGATAGAGATAGTACCACTTAGATTTTATAGTTTATAATTTTATAATTCATAATTAGTACAATAATTATTTTTTCGAGGTGGACATACTCTTAGCGTTTTTTTTTACCTTTTTAAAAAGGTAAATTAAATCGGGTTAATCCTATCACACATTTTTTTTCAGTACATATATCGACGAATCTCAACGGGTTTCATTTTCTGAAAAATAATTTTTTAATGGTTTATAACATATCGCCTTAAATTGGATTATGTGATTTTTTAATATAATTGTTTTAATTATTCTACATATAAAAATATTAAGTTAATGTTATTTAAAAAATATATGTACCAATCCATGCGTCTTTTAATAAAATGAACAAACCTGACAAAAAAAAGTTGCTCTGCTTTTGGAAACGAAATATTAATCCTTAAAGACGTCTATTTAAGTTAGAAAATTTTATCATATTGCAGAGCGGAGCCCCTCCCTCGCCTATTATATTAATAATTTCTAATAAAAAAAAATACTGATGCCTGTTTCCATCAATATAGGGTACTTCCGTTAATTCAAATTTGAGTTAGTTCCACTAGGACCAAAAAATGATAGATATTACCACCTAGTACCTTTATGATTTACGACAGCTCAATGTATGCCATGATTGAGTTAGTTAACAGGTAGCAATAAAATCAAAGAAGCAATAAAAAGTAATTTCGTAAAATTTTACGAATTGAGATACAATATGCTGTTATTAATTTATACTAAGATTAAATTTACTTAATCTTTCTTTTGAAAGTTAAAAAAATTAGTCGAAATTGATATTTTTTTTCTCCTTCTGTTACATTACCGAGCGAGCATTTCTTCTTGGTTGGTTCACAACCACGGCTTGCTAGGAAATTGCTTCGTCTGGGAACTAAAGAATCCATGTCCAAGAGTAAATGATCATTTTCATCTTCGTGTAAATTAATAAATGATGGATATATCTACAATCACAGAATTTTTAAAATTTAAAATTAGTTTAAAATATTAGGATTAAAATTTAAAATCAGCTTAAAACAATTAAAATTGCAAATTTATTCTTTATATGTGTAGTTTATTTCAATTAATTAAATCATATTTTCTTTTTATTATGTACTCATTTCATTTTCTAATAGTCTTTTATTGTCAATTGAGGCATTTGAGGATGTCAAAACCACAAAGCGATATACTTTAGAACTTGTAAAAGTTTTTTCTATCCTTAAAAACGTTTTATAATCCAGTTAAACGCAACCGTTTAAAGGCCCTGTAGGTTTCGGGAAAATTCCAACTGGATCTTGTTCTGGATGAACAGACCTACAGTTTGAGGGGAGTAACGACCCATTTAAACGCTTACTAAAATCAACCTTGAACTCGAAATTTGGTCATTTTTTCATATTAATCGGGTAGTATTCCTTAAGGCGTGTATCGTAGAGCTAAATGAATTATTGCATCGTGTTCAGCGACCAAAAAAACATACAGTACCACATTTAAAATCCGGATTAAGCTATTTTTGCATCAAATCGAACATGTACAGAGTGTCCCACGGGAAGGTGTTGAAACTAATCAGCTGTCATTTTCGAAAGTATTCAGTTATTGAAAAAACAAAAATTGCGCTGAAAAGAGGAAAGTTTGCAATTTTTAATGAATATAAATAAAATTTAACAAAATGTTTGTATATCAATTAATTTTATTGATGAAAAATATGCTCATAATCCCAAGAAGTAATTTTTTCGGAATGCGCATCATCTGAATTTGTACAAAATACAATTTTTGTTACGAAAATTCGTAAAAACTTTTTCTAATATATCGTTTTTAATATTGCTAATAACTTTTTAAATAGCTGCTACTAAATCTGAAACGGTTTTTCGATCTTATCTACGGTCTTTCATATTAATCTTAACATTTATTTGATTTTAGTATACTTTTCATCAATAAAATTAATTGATACACAAACATTTTATTAAATTTTATTTATACTCATTAAAAATTGCAGACTTTCCTCTTTTCAGCGCA